GGGGAGTTCAGTGCCCGCCACCCCCCACCCAGCGCCACTGTTGGGGTCTCACCTCCCCGTTGTTGTTGATGAGGGCCGTGCGGAGGCTGTCCCCGGACCCCCAGCTGCTCTGGGTTTTCCACACCACGTTACTGGGGGGGCTGTGGGCCACCCCCGCCCCCGAGGCCCAAATCTAGGGAGAAAAACACAGAAATAAAGCCACATCTCAGGGCTGCACAGCCCAGACCCTGGGGATGGGGGGGGTCTGTCCCCCTAAAAATGTCTGTGCCCTGGGTTTTGGACTCACCGTGACCACTTGGCCCGCCTTCAGGGTGAACTTCGGTGGGAAGCGGTAGGTGATGGGGGGATCGTCTCCGTTCTGCCGCTTCACCTGCCAGTTCCCCATCGCCTGGTCCTGTGAGAGGGACAGCAGCGACCCTGAGACCCCCCAGGTCCTCCCTGGCCTCGTCGCGTGTCACCCCATACCCGTGGGGATCCCAAACGCACCTCATTGGACTTGTTCCTGAGCCGGACGAATTTGCCCTCCAGGTCCACCTCCTCCACGCCGACGCGGCCGCTGGTCCGGGCATGGTGGGAGAAACTGGTCCTGCTCTCGCTGTCCTCCAGTTTCCTCTTTTTGGAGGAGCCCTGGGTGGACATGTGGCTCCGGGAGCCACCTTTGTGGGAGGACGGGCTCGGGGACAACCTCAGCCTGCGCAGGAGGAGAAGGGGAGATGAGGACGCGAGGGTCGGCACCCATCGTAGCCCCCCTGGGTGCAGCGCCCCGCGCTCACCGCTCCTCCTCGCCCTCCAGCAGCTTGCGGTAGGCGTTGATCTCCATGTCCAGGGCCAGTTTGATGTCCAGCAGCTCCTGGTACTCGTCCAGCTGCTGCTGCATGCGGGCCCGCATCTCCGCCATCTCCCGCTCCTTGTCGGACAGCAGGCGCCGGTTGGTCTCGCGTTCCCTGGCCAGGATGTCCTCCAAATCGTGCAGCTTCGCCTCCTTGGCGGCCAACTGTGGGGGGTAACCCAGAGCACCCTCAGTGAGTTTGGAGGTGACACCACCTTGGGTGGGAGTTTTGATCTGTGTGAGGGTGGGAAGGCTCTGACAGGGACCTGGCCAGGCCTCACTGTATGAGGTTCAACAAGGCCAAGGGCTGGGGCCTGCTCTTGGGACACCACAACCCCATGGACGCTGCAGGCGTGGGGAGGAGCAGCTGGAAAGGACCTGGGGTGGTGGTTGAAATTTGGGTGAACACGAGCCAGGATGTGCCCAGGTGGCCAACGCCATCCTGGGCTGTCCCAGCCATGGTGTGGGCAGCAGGAGCAGGGCAGGGATCCTTCCCCTGTGCTGGGCACTGCTGAGGCCGCCCCTCGAATCCTGGGGTCAGTTTTGAGCCCCTCA